TGGTGACAACACTAATGGATAGAATGGATTTATTGCCATTCATTGACGCCAGAAATCTAGACAAACTTAACAATGAATTTCAAATGACAGATCAAAACAACACATGACCACAATGTGAGCATAGTTTCGCCCAATTGTGCCGCTTCTGGCACTGGTATACAACTGTCAGCTCCCTATGGTATTCGGCCGACAGTTGAAACCCTATTTTACGTTATCTTATAATAATTATTATTGTTTACTCATTATAATTGCAATAGATTTTCAAATAAATAATTGTTTTCTAAAAAATGTTTGTTTAAAATATAAAGTTATGACTTGTTTTTTGTTTGCCTTATATTTATGCTGCGCTCGAAATGGCAATTAATTTTGTTATTTACTCTAAAAATACATTATTTCTAATGAATTGTCTGACTTTAATGTCTCGATTGTATACTAATTTTGTGTACCATTACTGATGAGTGGACCAAACTATTGGTTAGTATTGCGTTTATTATGAACTGGCAATTCATGTCACGTATGAATTTTGGACGCGACTTGTGTTGCAAATTGTGTTCAAACGATATCTCATTTCTTATTTAAAGAGTTTTTTGGCAATTTTTTGCTGAAAATAATACATTTTTCTCGATTGGGATTAAAAATTAATTTAAACCATAGAAACGAACCGAACATAAAATGTTTGCAAATAAAAAGTAGACAATTATTTAACAAATAGTTTTCATACAAATCATATTAAATATTTTTATTTTATAAAATACTTTTTTTCTCAAATTTTGAAACAAAATGCATTTTTATTTAACTTTAAACACAGTGTTAATTGTGTTTCTATACATCACTTTAATTGACAGTCAAAAGTCTAAATCGTCTAAATCTTCTAAATCATTAAAAAACTCGAAGAATGTAAAAGTATTGAAATATTAAACATTTTTCAGACGTAAATTCACAATTGATTTGGTATTCACTATAGGATACTATCAAAAAGGAGATCCCATTTATACAGAAATTCTATACGAAGACATTGGGAGAGATTAAGGTTGACCGGAAGAAGGGTCGACTCCCACCCAAAGGATCGATACTTAACTGTATAGTCAAGTGTTCGGCTCTTCACGGATGTCATTGCGTTCGGTATGTATTCTATACACAGAATATTCTGTAAAACTTAGAGATTACTGGTATTTCTATTGTTAAGAATTAACGTCGAGACGAGTGAATGCAATACTTTTGTGTCCACTGTTGACGACCCGAACTCTGAACGAAATACATCCGTATTAGAGAAATATGTTTATTACACTAATAATGGGAACAGAGAGGGAAATAATGGTAATTAATTGTTTCATTTATATTTTATTGAACATTGAGCGCAAATATTCTGTAAATTTGTTACTCGTTTGCAGTAAATCTTGCGTTGGGAAAGAAAGTGACCCAAAGCTCGACATACAATCAATTTCGGGCCCAAAAAGCTATCGATAACGACAAACGCACTGAGAGTAAGACAAGTGGAGGCAAAGAGAAGCGAAGAAGTACTCTTCCATGGCTTCAGATCGACATGAAAGACGATCACGTCATCACTGGTGTTATGTTACTATCGAGCGATGGTTTGTATTGTTTATCTAAATTTATATTAGTTTTCTATTATTTTCTTTTTTAATTTCTATTTTTATGTAATTTCTATCTTTATATTGCCTTAAAAACGTTCAGTTTTTATTGTATGTAAAGTAATAATTATGACATTAATATTGATATGTAATGTTCAGAGAAATCTGTGCACGACTTTGAGATCCGAGTGGGAAACCGACAAATCAGTAAATCAGAAAAGGGAACTCATTTTAAAGAGAATCCCGTCTGTTATGCCTACGAAGGCAGCGATTTTCTCCAGAAAGCAAAACCTAAAGTCGTTAAATGCGAGGTTTGTATCTCATCTCCCATTCATTTCGCCCATTTTTGACATTTCGTGAATATTCTTATTTCACTCTCAATAGCCGTGTCCTCTGATGGGAAGGTATGTGACCCTTCAGATCGTGAAGAACTGCACCGATTGTCCCAATCCGGGAGACAATTACCTAAATTTGGCTGAATTAGAGATATACGGATATATTCCCAAATAAAGAAACATCAAAGTTATGTTTACTATCACTAGTGATATCACAGATTTTATGAGCATTTAATTGTTTAAATATTTGCTGAATTTATAGCTAATGTTAATCTAATCAAAACAATAATAAAAAGCACAAATTATTGCACAGTTTGGCAAACAATCAGAAAATTGTTTCGTTTTCTTTGTAAATAATTATGCAATTTATGGTCAAATTCATTGAATACTTAGAATATATTGCTTTGAACCATACCTAAGAAATAATTATTCTTCATAACACTTACTGTTAACAAAATTAATATTAAATTACATAGAGATATAACATGTGTAAAGCAAATGCCTTTGTATGTGATTTGATTATTTCTAAATAAAAAAGTTTAGTTTTGTGTCAAAAATATTATGCAAAACAATCGGTTTGATGTATCAAAAAGTGATGACTTTAATGATTATAACGATATAGAAGTGAATGCTATGAATACTCTCGACATCAAGAATACCAAAGAGAAGAAGAAGAAGTTGGAGAAGAATTCTTCGGTTACTTTCAAAGAAGTCGGCAAAAACAGGTGGAAGAATGAAGACCCGGGATATTCCGGTCATTCCAACCCTGTCTTCACATT